CAATGCATCCACATGTGACATTTTTGATCCTTGCCGATATTCTACACTGAAATTGAATTCTTGGATGGAAAGCCACCACCGTGCAATGCGCGGAATCAGATCACGCTTTGACATTGCAGTTCTCAAAGCACTACAGTCAGTTATTACTTTGAACGATAGCCCTAATAGGTATACTCTGAACCTCTGTAATGAACAAACCTCTGCTAACGTTTCGAGTTCGTATGAGTGATACATTTTTTCTTCCTTTGCAGTCTGTCGGCTGAAGAATAATACTGGCTTTAGGTTGCCATCTTCCTGTTTTTGTAAAAAAATTCCACCAAGCCCAATTTTCGAAGCTGTTTCTAACCCACGGTCATATAGGACAAGTATAGGTCTTTTGAACAAAACTCTTCTAAGTTTTGCAAAAGATACCGCGGTATCTTACCCGGTTATATTTTGACAGTCGCAAAGTGACACCTGCATTCACCAGTTTTCTTCTTAAACAATACAATTGGACTTGAATAAGGCGCTCTGGACTCTTGTATAATATCGGCTGACAGTAGGTCAGTAACTATTTTGCGCACCTTCTCCCTCTCATGCATAGAAAGTCTATATCTTAGAGCAGGTAAAGCGCCGTCCTACGGACATAAGGAGTAGGAACGCGCCATTCTGCTTATGAAACTAAAGCACAGCATATACAAAAACAATCAGCAGGCTAACTCTCACGCGCATCTTTTCTGCGCACGCCGCCATTAGGGGATACCATCCTGTCATTAAACGCCACGGACGCCGAAATTTTATTTAATTTGTTTATTTCTGACAGAGGTCATAGGCGTGCGGTGTAGAGCGGAATTTTAGTTATGATTTCCGAAGTGATTTTAGTATATTCGTGTTGTCATTTATAGTGTTATCTGTTATCATTCTTGTATATTTAATAATAAAACGGTCGAAATTTGATCGTGACGTCATCTAAGACAAGGATTCAACACTAAACAGCTATTTTTTAATAATAAAAATAATAAATTAGTAATTATAAATATTATTATATGTAACTATGTAAGTAATAATAAATTAGTTTATTTAAAGCCAATACGACTCTGTGACAGGAAAGAAAAAACCTAAATTATCGTTAATCAGGCCCTGTTTCGTATCCCAAAATGGCCGCTAGTGACATTTCGACGATGAATTCCTTTATTGCATGGGCTGTCACTCAAGTTAGCCTGCTGATTGTTTTTGGATATGCTGTGACTAAAGTGTAGCCAAGTTTTTGGCAGGTGTTTGGCACCAAAATTCAGGTAAAGCATTGAGTTGCCATAACCGCCATTTTTTGTGGGCCAAAATACCTGGAAAAAAACGGCTTTATTTTCCAAATCCAGGTTACTACTCCTTTACCTTTACCTGCTCTAAGGTCTATATGGTCTATATGTCAAAGGATTTTCACAATTTGAACGAATTTCCATATCCGCGGATCCAATGTGACCTAGTTTTTTCATAATTCAGCAAAACAATCGCGATACTTGTTTAACAATAATACAAGATTATTTAAATCGGTTCTAGATAACTTTTCTGACACGCAAGTTGTTGAATCATTTAAGGAAAATTTTCCCAAATAACAAATATCTATTTTTAAACAGGTACTTACATTTTCGTCATAAGGAACGCAAGGAACACCTCTTGCAATTACCCTATTTGGTCCAAAACAGATCACATCTTTTGAAACATTTAAAATGGGAATTTTCAAATCTCCTGAAGATATGACACATCTGGGAAAAACATATTCTTTGCCTAGTTCAAAACGTTGACATAGGTCTACAAAAATATTACCTTGGTAGTCAGTACGTACGCCTTGTCGATTATGCGTCGCAAGACCTCAGACGAAGCCTCGTCAACTCCGAAAACCATGAGAGCCCTGTTCGGTTCTTCTTTTCGGTGGTACGTCCTCCATAGATTCATCCTGAGTCCAGGATTCTGTCTACTGAGGTGTTTGAGGATGGTGTTGGTGTCGTCTGAAAGTCCGTGGACTACCGCAACCATCTTGATAACCCTTGGAGTGTATCGCATCACACGCAGCGATGCCCCCTCCCAGGCCGTTATCGAGGAGATGACCCCCTCCAATACTCTAGAGTCCACTGGTTCCCGCAACCAACCATAATAGTGCCCTGTGGATCCCAGCCAAACTTTTCGATCCAGGGGCCCGATTCTCGTCCCCAGGGAGTAGAGCTTCCCGAGTGAACGAATTTTTTGTCCTTGTCAACGTAATCGAAAAGTGAACGAGAATGAAAAAGGCGAGAAATTTGTTCTCTCGGGAAGCTCTCCTCTCCCTGAGACGAGAATCGGGCCCCAGGGGTGCTGCTTTCAGATCTGAGACGTTTTTTCCAGGTTCCTTGGGTGTCCCCCTGTAACGAGGTGATAGTTGAGCCTTCGCCAGAAGCCTGGCTCGTAGACTGCGTCTCGAGCCTGAACCTCCTGGCTTTGGCCTTTGCCGCACCAGACCTGTTCTTCTTTTTAGAAAATTGGGTGCCAGTGTCACCAGTCCCCTTAGTGGGGTCTTGTGAAGGGTCCCTCCTTGCGAAAAGCCCTTCAAAGATTTATTTGTATTTGAAAATTCCTTATAAATCCCACGAGTAGTCCGGAACTAAAGGTCTGTCCACACAGCGCCGGTTTGTATGGCTAGATACCCTGATATCCCAGAGGCATCGTTCAAGACACATCACCCTGTGCCATACAGTTCTTGAGTACGGTAGCTAACACCTTGAGCTTGGGGATTTTTTGTTCGAGCTTTACTGCTCTAGATTCGCCACTTTTAGTTAAATACAGAATCACCTCGTGAAGGGTAGTGGTAAAGCCATTCGTGGACGGTATTGGGAATCCCCCTGGTGTGATGTAGGTTCCGGAGGCCGAAGCTTCTTATGCTGCGCATGTGGTGCTAGTTCCGAAGAAGGATAGAGGAATAAGGCTGACGGTGGACTACCGCAAGCTAAATGCCAAAACACCCCCATTGCCTAGGATCGATGATACCCTCCATGCAGCAAAGAGAACTCAGTACATATCCACCTTAGCCTAGCGATAGAGAGAAAACCACTTTCATCTGTCCTTTTGAGACGTTTCGTTACACACGAATGCCGTTCGGCTTACGAAATGCACCCTCGACGTTCCAAAGGCTGATTGACAGATTCTGTTCTGGACTTCAGGATCTGAATATACTTGATATTTTGATGATCATTTTGTCAGAAGCGTTCGAATCCCATGTGAAGCACCTACAGCAAATACCTATTTGACCGTCTAAAAATGTTCAAAATCAAACTAAAACGATCCAAATGTAGTTTTTCCTGCATCTTCACCTTAACCCCATGTATCTTGAGAAGAAGAAGTATCGTGAACAAGATCAGAGCTGTATAAAGCTTTGGCTCCCAATAAAGAAACGCTATAGTAATTTTATAATGAGAATTTACACAAATGGCCTCTTTGAAATGAGTATAAAATTATCCTGTTAATTAGGTTTTGATCGGTTAAATCCGCCTCTATATAGGGCGCAGAGACATTCTCCTGTACGGATATACACATGTTCGAAAAGACGGTTTTTCCCGGAAGCCCTGTTTTTGGCACGGGGGCTTTAGTTAGACGAATGGCGGCCTCGTACACCTATCAGCAAGAAAAATAGACAGGCTCAGCACCGTGAACGGTATTTATTTGATATTTTATTAGATTAAGTGGATGCCGAGCAAATCCGAAACGGGAGGCGTTTTCCTTTAGAATCTCAAGGATTTTGATCGGTTTATGGGTTTAACTGTTTTGTCGGCTAGAAGAAGAAGTGTTATCGAAAATCTAGTTGATCGTCTGTTTCTTTTTGGTTTCTCTATGAAAAATTGTTACGATTTTAGAGCAAGGAGCCGAACAAAAGCTTGTGGATGCACTGTCCATTGACGTGAAAATATTCAAATTGTGTCTATCTTGGACCTGAAGCAAAGTCGTTATATGAAACCATTGAGTCATATGCGACCCAACAACCATATGGCAGGAAGAATACCTCACATAATAAGAAGAGGCCTGGTCTATGGTATACATAGACCTCATGAAATGCCTCTCCCAGTTGGCTATAAACTACCAATTACCAATTTCCACAAAGTTCAAATTAAAATTTCCCAGATCAATTTCCAGTTTCACGAGCTGAGTTAATTTACATAGACTCCCCGAATAAAAAAAAAACAATTACCCAGAAACCGACCGATTACCAAGGTAATTTATCGGCCCGGTGTTTCTTTATTTGGAGCCGTTGCGCGAAATTTACGCACCGCGCGTCGCAATTTGAATAATAAAGAATCGGCCAATTGAATAGAGGGAAAATTTATTGGAGGTCTAAGTGGAGTTATATTACTTTGTGGCAATCGATTGGATATGCCAAACTGGCGCGTGACTGCCTGGAAATTTAGTTTCACCATAAGTTTTCGGGATGCGGAACGAAGCACTAGGATTAAATTATTGAAATATTTCGATTGTTCATAATACTACATCAAATAACCTTGTAAAACTATACAATATTCATATACCAATTATCTATACTTATATGTAGACTCAGTGGCGGCTCCTGAATTTTGATACCGATCAGGGAGATACTAGATACTCTCTTAGTTGGGTATAAATATAAATAAAATTATATCAAAAAAGAATGACTATGAACACTTAGTTAATGGAGTCCAGCAATTTATTGTTTGCTCTGGAGTGGAGAGTCGGGACAAACCTTTTCCAACATCCCAATTTTTGATTTAAAGAAATATTAACTGGAAGTGAATAATTCGACGTCATGCAACGTCGCATATTACGGCAAAATGTACTACTAACTGACGTCGGTAGGTCATCCCGACAACCAGAATTCTACTGACTCATGAATTAAACGTTTCAGTGTTAGACTATTTCCGACTAAAAAGATCACATTGCAAATAACGTTGGAAACAGAATTTGAAATTCAATTTATAAATGGGTGGGTCCTCAGACCGCCACTGCTTACAATGTTGCATTTCTGACCTTCAAACGAACAAAAAGCAATTATTCATAGCTACAATTTGAAACAAATTATCTGAATTAAACACATATGATTTAACATTTCATGTTGTTCCAAAACAAACATTCTCACAATCTGGTGCTTTATTTTTCAACCAAAAATGGATTTGTAAGTTTAATTATTTCTGTGCAAAACCTTTTGTGTTACCTACATTTTTGTGTTTTTAGGGCCAGTGAGCTAAATTTCTATATCAACGATGTTCGTCATAAAGGTAAGGCAAAAAGACAAACAACTGATTATATTAATAAATTCAAAATTAAAGTTTCTGTGGATAAATTATCGCCAACTATCACTTTAAACTCGTTCTTAAGAGATCAATTGCAACTTACTGGTACGAAAAAAATGTGCGAAGAAGGCGGTTGCGGCGTGTGCACTGTCGTCAGAAAAATTGATAACAAGCAAGAATTTATTGCTATTAATTCGGTAAGTAAAACAAAACTGCAACATTAATTATTGAGGTAATTGTCAGCTATAGGCGATAACGCAAACATAACAAATTGCCTTCTATTATGGAGAATTATTATTTTATCCGATGCAAATCTTGCATTGCAAATTTAACATCGCCTTTGCATTTTTGACACTGGAAGGAATCATGTCGACGGTTTTTCTTTTAAGAATTTTCATCAGATTAGCGTAGGTAGGTAATTATTATGACTGATTGGAGCTAAGTGTATTGTTATTTGTTTTAAGTGGGTAGGGAAAAATGACGTGAAAATACGCAATACATTTGACATAATCCAGTGCAACGCACTGGAGCTACCGAGACCTGTCACATTTCTACCCCGTCGGTCAAGTCCTTCATCAATTTTAAGATGTTGTGAGGACCAATCGCAACCTTCGGCAGTTATCGTTGGTTTGAGAGTGGATGAGAAGTTGGTCGGGTAACACATTCGCAATAAATGGCTGTTGGAATTCATTATCTCATCAACTGTCATACCAACGGTAACCGCCAAAGGTTGCCGTTACATAACTATTGTTTTATTGTTCCAATAGTAGGCGGACTAACCTTTAAACTTATTTGTTTTGCAGTTTCTATCACAGTTCAATTCTATCAATTTATATGTTAGGATCACAAATTTAAAGGTTGTCACAGATTTCAGATTCCAAATAAGCCTTAATTGATCTGCTAGGTTTCTATTTTCATTATCCAATGAATAGTTTTCTAACAGTTGTCTCACTCAGGGAATTCCATGTGTACACTACTCTGTTTGAATTTAAAAAAATCCCTGGCAGCCTGTTGTTTTTTTCTTCATACATATTTTTGGTGTGGTCACGCAGTTGGTAAGATTAGCTTCTGCAACACTTCCATTTCACAAGTGTAGCTATTGTTTAGGATTTTATAGGTTTCAATTATATCTCCTCTGGATCGTCTTTCTCTTAGTGTTGGTAGACCAAATATTTCTAACCTTCCAGGATAGAGCAGGACCGGTATTCTGGTTCTCAAAAACGCTCACCGCTTTCTAGTCGCTCGGCACTTTAAATGCAAATTTACATTAAAAGTGCCGAGTGACTGAAAAGCGGTGAGCGTTTTCGAGAACGAGAATACCGGCCCTGATCTCTTAATTCCGGTTGTATTCTGATTACACTACGCTGCACCCTTTCCAACAATTCTATGTTACCAACAAAGTAAGGATTCTATACTGAGTGTGCAAATTCAAGTTTGGGCCTTATGTAGGTTATGTATACTTTTTTAATCATTTCAACATTAATTTAATACTTTTCTACACATATATATTAAACAGTTTGCCTTCTTGACAATTTTATTTATAAGGGGTTCCCATTCAAGGTCACTCGTTATAATACCTCATATAGCAGGTATCGAAGGGAACTCCAACACTATGCACACGCGTTTTATAGTTCATTGATCTACAGTCACAAAATTAGTCCAGAAAGTCATTGGGGTTGTGGTTTACTACAAAACCCCAGGCCCCACGTTGGGCGCCAAATATGTAGCTAGCGGGTATCGAAGGGAACTCCAACACTATGCACTACACATTGTTTTTTCAATGTTTTTATTTAACAATTTAACTTAAAAATACAAAGTCAGCAAAATTACTGATAATCAGACTGATAATGAACTTGATCGGGGGAAACTGACTGATTGATTGATGACACTTGTCAAACATGGCAGTAGCTATGGCTACGGCAACGGTAGCGGCTATGGCGTCGCAAGTGTAGGCGTTACATTCTCCCCTTTTGGAAGTTGCAGCGTCTCGACAAATTTCCAACAAAATTAGACATGGTCAAAAAAAAAAAGTCCTTCTACCAGATGAACGACCTCTATGTCGAATAGGCCTAATAGGAACTAGAACTTGGTCACCTATCTACTTGCTGAGAGCTGATGAATGGTATGTACCCACCAATACTATTGGAGATTGGGTGGAGGCAATCTGATAAGAGGTTGGCGATACTATTTTCAGGATGATATAGGGGCCATCTCTTCTAGGTGCGAACTTGGATATGTAAGACTGCGATCCTTTGCTCAACACATGCGAGTTGACCAAAACCTTTTCTCCTATATTGAATGGTTCATTGCGTCGATGTTTGTCAGCATACAACGTGGACGCATCCTTTCTCAGTTCATTTGTCTCTCTAATGTTGGACAGGACATCAGCAACAATCTTCAATTTTGGGGTAATCTCGGGAATGAATTTATCGCTATTAACGATAGCTCGAAGATCATGTTCGACATCATGCGGGGTTCTCAGCTCACGGGCAAAACATAAATAGGCAGGGCTGTAACCAGTAGATAGGTTGTTGGCAGAGTTCATTGCAAATCTCACAGAAGGCAAGGCTTCTTTTCATTTTGTATGATCCCTTTCCACAGGTATTGCTAACTGGGTCCTCAGATCCCTATTTCTTCTCTCTTCAGGATTATAGGATTTTGGGTAAAACCGAGGCAATGAGCAACTTGTGACAAACTGTGTGCCATTGTCACTGATGTCTTTTCTGGGAGATGTATATGTGAGAATAACTTCATCGATAAGGCATTTCGCACAAGCTTCAGCTGTAGCATTTTTCAGTGCGAATAACTCTATCCATTTGATGACAGTATCTTCTATAGCGAAACCCCATCTTTCACCTGTTTCTGCTTCAGGCAGTAGTCCAAATAAATCCATAGCCAAGGTTTCAACTCGCTGAGCCAGAACAGGAGTCTGAGTCAAACCAGAAGGCTTAAGATTCGTTGGTTTGTATCTTTGACATTCTATGCATTTTCATTTTTCGGATGTGTTCAGTGATGTCTTTTCTCATCGTCGGTCAGTAAAACCTTTGTGAGATTCGTTTCAAAGTTTTGTCGACGCCGTAGTGTCCTACAAGTGGAGAATCATGAAGTATAGACCCTACTCGACCTTGAGGAACAACTAATTGAGCTCCGTCAGAATCGAAGTCACTGACGTAATAGTTTAGAATCCCCTGAACCATACGGTAGCCTCGATTGGTCCATCTGGCAAAGTCGACAGTATCAGAATCAGCATTCTCAAAACAGTCGATAATACTCTTAGTGTATGGATCATCTAACTGCTGGGATCTCTGCAGCTGACAAAAATGGAGGACAAACTTGGACACACAGGAAACTATAATGTCGGTTTGTTTGAAATATTCCAGAAATTGTAGGAAAAATATCTGAACACACATCCGAAAATGCATAGAATGTCAAAGATACAAACCAACGAATCTTAAGCCTTCTGGTTTGACTCAAACTTCTGTTCTGGCTTAGCGATTTTGAAACCTTAGCTATGGATTTATTTGGACCACTGCCTGAAGCAGAAAGTCATTGGGAAGGTGGTTAGCTACAAAACCCCAGGCCCCACGTTGGGCGCCAAATATATAGCAGGTATCGAAGGGAACTCCAACACTATGCACTACACATTGTTTTTTTCAATGTTTTTATTTAACAATTTAACTGGAAAGTCACTGACCTAACGGTGTAAAGTCCCCTGAATCATAAGGTAGTCTCGATGGTCCATCTGGCAAAGTCGACAGTATCAGAATCAGCATTCTCGAAACAGTCGATAATACTCTTAATATATGGATCATCTAACTGCTGGGTTCTGGCCTCTGCAGCCGATTTATTAGGTAGCAGAATAGAAACTGCGTCGACAGCTATTAGTGACTGGTCATTGCTATCCGAGTCAATGATAGGTGGTCTTGATAATGTATCTGCGACGGAATTCGTACGTCCTGATATGTAGTCAATCTTGAGGTCGAAAGCTTGCAGTTGAAGTGCCCACCGGGCCAATCTACCAGTTGGCGATTTCAATGTCATAAGCCAGCGGAGAAGTTTTGACATAAACTGGTAAACCTTATATGAATCCGCGAAACTTGTTGACTGCGTATGCAAGTGCAAGGGCTTCCCGATCAGTACAGCTATAGTTCTTCTCGGTCGCAGTAAGTAAACGACTGGCGTACTCTACCGGTCTTTCGTCGGGTCCCTCCCCCTGGAGCAAACATACACCAAAAGCATAGGCACTGGCATCAGTTCTAATAATGTATGGCTTAGAAGGATCGGTTTGACGCAGAATAGGTGCTGTAGTCAAGAGAACTTTGAGCTTCCCGAACGATTCTTGTTGTGCCGAATCCCACGAACATGAAACATTCTTTCTTGTCAAGTTACTTAGCGGTCTAGAGACATTGGCAAAGTTTGGAATGAATCTACGGAACCATGAACAAGTTTGAAGGGAACTGAGAACTTGTTTCACGTTCTTGGGTGCGGCAAGATGGGTAATAGCGGCAAGTCATCAAGGTATCCTAACATCTGGATATACGGCAAACTTGAACAAAAACGGTTTATAAGCTTTTGAAACGTTGCTGGATCCGTGGATAGACCAAAAGGCATCGTCTTATATCGATAAAGTCCAAATAGCGTGACAAAGGCGGTTTTATCACGATCTTTTTCTCTGACAGGTACTTGATGATAATTTATCCACTCTTCAGGTCTAAGGTGGTTATATAGTTAGCTTTTCCAGTTGAATGGATAAGGTCATCTATACGAGACAACGGGTGAAGTTCCGTCTTTCTTCGGTACAAGGACGACTGGAAATGCGTATTGCGATTCGCTCGCTTCAATGATATCGCTGACAAGAAGTTTTTCAAGCTCCTGACGCAAAACTTCTTTCTTCGCAGGAGATAAGCGATATGGTGGTACAGCTATGGGAACATCATCAGTGAGGATGATGGTATGCTCAGCATATGGTGTAAATCCTGTATTTTCATCGAACAAATTCTTGTAATGTTCCAATAGCGATTTGAATGTCCCTTCTTCAATATTGGAAAGAGTCGGTAACGACAAATCATTCCCGTCAACAACATACAAAACTGCGTTGGAATCAATAACTTCATCCTGTAATAGCAAGGAATTGCTTGGATCATCATTGAAATATCTTCTTAGGTATATTGAGCATTATATCGAATTGTGATATGAAATCAACACCAAGTAAAGTCTCACTATCTTTGTAGTCTGGAACAGCAATCGTTTGCAGTTTTCGTTGTTTATTCATAACTTCGATGGAACACTGGTACATATTTGTTACAACTTTTCGGGGTATACTATCAGCAAATACCAGTTGTATTGCAGCAGTTTTAAATGGATGCCGAATAGCATCTAAGTGACTTAACAACTTTGAACCTGCAATACAGCATCTTGCTCCGGAATCCACAAAAGCAAAACCTGATTCACTTTGAATGATGACAGGTATCATGGGTCTTAAAGGCGGACCATCAAACGTTGATAATAAACTGGAAGGTTCACCGAGATCAGCAGCGAGCATTTCGACAGAGGAAATGGTTGTTGGTGCAAGTTTACATTGAGGACAATTGGAATGAATATATCCTGGATCACCGCAACCATAGCATGTTACATTTGTGGAGGACGGATTACTAGAACGGACTGTTAGGGCAGAAGTAGTGGACGAGGCTTTCTCAGCAGCTTGGCTTTAAATTTTCTGCAAACAGCTTGAACATGTCCATATGCTTTGCAAAATGCACACCGGTCCTTGGGCTTCTCTGCAACGGACGTGGAAGTCACTTTTACGTTGGATTCAGCAAGGCTGGATTCGATTGCTTTGCATTTGTCGATCATCTCTGAAAAGTTCTGGAAACTATGTCGAGGAAGAAGTTTTTCTCTGTATCTATGGTGAAGGATTCCATAAACCATTTCTAACTTGTGCTCCTCTAGCAAGGGCGTGATTGTTGTCAACTTTGAAAGCAGTGCACGGGTTTGATTCAGGAAAATAATCGTTGGTTCCGTACTGCCTTGTTCTCAAGAAAACAGCTCCCTATAAATCTGATGTGCTAGTTTGTTAAAGCCAAAAGCATGACGTCGCGTATCTTAAACTACAGACCATAAGATGCTTGGCTTTTTGAAGCCTTGCCACCATTTTGCAGCAGCGCCATCTAGTAGCATGGGTAAACCTTTTACAGCGTTATCGTCACTGATGTTTAGACAGTCTTTGTAAATAGTGATGGCATCAATAAAAGCTTTTTCATCTTCGTCTGGCTTTCCGGAAAACCTTGAGCCGCATTTAGAAAAATTGGCAGCTGTACTTTGGTTCGAAGTAGATTGTGGCGTAATCTGGAACATATCTCTCATGCCAGCGAGTAATATTTGTAATTTTTCATTCGTCAGAACAACAGGGTCACCCATTTTGTCTTGATTTCTTTAGGACGATCGAAGATTATAAGGCATCAACAGAAAAATCCAGCTCGGAGTAAGCCAAGCGATGGAAATGTAGTGTTGAGAAACAGCAAATTCGGGTAAATCCTGACAAACAGGCGACTGTAATGTAGGAATCCTTCACAAACTTGGACGGACACACAGGAAACTGTAATGTGGGTACAAAATGGAGGACGAAGTTGGACACACAGGAAACTGTGATGTCGGTACAAAAATGGAGGACAAACATGGACACACAGGAATCTATAATGTCGATTTGTTTGGAATATTCCAGAAAATTGTGGGAACAATATCTGAATGTGGCAAAACTTACGCAATTCAGTCAATTAATGCACACTTACGCCGATAATGTCTTGCGTCTTATAGTTCATTGATCTACAGTCACAAAATTAGTCCAGAAAGTCATTGGGGTGGTGGTATACTACGAAACCCCAGGCCTCACGTTGGGCGCCAAATATACCAAGTTCATTATATCGAGGAAAACTGACCACAAAACATCCCCCCTTAGAAATGTAAGTCTTATGAGAGGCGTCAGTCTAGTCGTTTCAGCTTTCCCCTCCAATCACTAGAGGCGCTTCAATCAACCTATTAAAGTTTTCTTTTTCCTGCCGGACCGTGCGCCAAGATTTGAAGTTTATTTTGTCATTTTCAGTCGTCAAAATTTAAATTTTGAACTTCTCCCAACATTTAGAATTATCAATTACCTATCAATTATCAATAATTATTATCTCAAAATGTCTTCTCCCAGTTTGTTAATTGAAAAGCATCAGAAATGCTGTGTTCCGGGGTGCGGCGACAAATACAGCAGCTATTTCCGGTTTCCAAAAGATGCCGAAAAAATGAAACAATGGCTAATAAAAGTTCGCAATCCTTTACTAAATAGCCTCAGTGTCGAGAAGGCTTATAATAATTATAGAGTGTGAACAAGACATTTTCCTCGAGAATTTATTGTTGGCGATCCAAAAGCCAGACGAGGACTCACATGGAATGCTGCGCTTTTGCTGTATCTCCCTGAAGGTAAGTTAATACTAGATATATGTGAGAAAGACGTACTTACATTTTCACTTACTCCTCCCCATAGTTCTGATTAACGACAACGTGTTAGAATTCGGGTTTAAAGGAGCATAGGTCAGAAACATTAAAATTAATTTTAATTTTAGCCCCAACTATCAAAAACAGTGAGGAGTCGTTAATTGATAAACCACAATCACCAAAATGGCAAAAAGTGGAGATCGACACAGCTGAAACTCGTCGAAGAGTCCTAAGACGCCTTCAGAAATTAGTTTCGCAACTATGATTGACATAGGTAGGTAAACATAATAACTCTGTTCCAACACGTCAAAAAATCGTCTCATGAACGGTTTCGAAACCACTCAGTATAACAATTTTAGTTTCTGCGCAGAATCGTGACGGTACATTGTACGGTTTTCTGCTGTGTTGGAACAAAGCTAATATTATTCATTTCTTTTTTTTTAAATGTTTATTCCTTTATCAGGAGACACAATAATTAAAATATTCCTGGTTACATACAGGTACACCATATTCTACAATGCGTGTATCCAAACTTTTTTGGTAGAATCATTGGTAACGAAATTTCTGTTTTAGATCAACCAGGCCCTTCATGTCGTCAATTTTTATCTACTGAAACTTCTGCAATTCGGGCAAACTTTTATTGGTAGGTACCTAAGTGTTATTGCTTAATGAATAACCACCCAATTGGGAGTAGGTGAATTTTAAAACATCCTAACTGAAGTAGGACTACTACTATAAAAGACTACTAATTACTAAAACTTGCAGTCGAATGCTAGAAAAATTAGAAGCTAAATGTGCGAAAAACTCGTCTCCAATCTTGATCTATTTTTTTTTGCAGGTCATGAGAGACGATGCCAAATTTTAAAGAACATTAACGTCACTAGGCAAAAATTCCTATCCCCAAGGGAAAAATATCTTTATTCCAAAGTTATAGAATCCAGCAATAAGTTAAGAAGAATCAGTAGAAGGTTGTCGTCATTTAAATCCAAAGTTTCTGCTGCTGAATAACTTGCATCATAAACCAAATTTCAAAGGCTCGTAGACCACGTCAATCCATTGATATACAGCTTTATTTTAAGCCAAGCCCGTACTCAAAACCAAAAGCCTAAAGCTAGACGATTTACATTGGACGAGAAGTTGTTGGCGTTGTCTTTGCTTAAAGCTAGTGGTAAAGGGTATAGACTATTATCAAAAATATTTATTCTATCATTCAGGCGAAATCAGTTTCTTGAATGAGCTTTATATTATGTATAACTACATAAACTTTCTACCTAACACATGCGGAAAGTGTATTTTCTGGACTTAAAGGCTTACCCGAACTCTGGTTTTTGTTGTCATTCGTGCAACTTCCATCATGTGCAGAAACACTTTCCTCACTTGGTAGGTTAACAACGATTTGGGATTGTGAGAAAAGGACCTCTTTTGTCATTTTATTTACGATTTAAGTTTTTCATCAAACTATTGTTGAATGTACGTCATTACTTCTTGTAACTGTCCTTATTATCTTTATACTAGCATTACCTACCTATGTACATATGTATAAAATAAGAAAATATTTGGTTTGATTTTCCATGCTTTTCCATCCATAGACGTGTTTCGACCTATCAGGTCTCATCAGTATGGCTAGAAAAAGCAAAGAAAACCAAACCAAGTTTCGTGCCTGTGGTGTTGAAGTTTTGTCTTAGATGGCGCCACGATCAAATTTCGACCGTTGTACTATGTATGTATACTTACATGAAAAAAAACTGTTTCGCAATAATTGTAATTAATTCCATATTCTATTATATTTTCTGTTTCAAACTTTAATAAATATCTAAATTTGTCATCTTAATTCTTAGTCAATTTTACCTTGAAGGCGCTTCAACACTACCGATTTTATGAGTTTCTTCTTTTTGGCACAATTATTTTATGCCAAAAAATGGTAGAAACTTTAAAGTGGTGGTGTTGACTCGCTAGAATCAAACAATGGTGCAAACGATCCACCGGAACGAATAAGATACCGAACGAACCCTAATTGCGTTTTGCCTTCGCCAATAAATCCAGAATTACAAAAGCTGACCCCCCCAGTCACTAGAGGCGCTGAAAACTTATAGACAGGTTCTCAACACGGCACTTACCTTTCTAAGGGGGGATGTTTTGTGAAACTGACTGACTGATTGATGACACTTGTCAGACATGGTAGTGGCTATGTCGTCGCGAGTGTAAGCGTTACAAAAATTTATAAACCACCCCAAATTGCTTAAAATTGATGACGGACTTGACCGCCAGGGTACAAATGAGACAGGTCTGGGTAGCTCAAGTGCACTACATATGCGAGGGTCCAGGGTTCAAATTCTAGTCCAGGCAAGAAAATGTTCTATCAATTTTAATAATTAACGTCTGCATGCCACTAAACTCATTGACACCAGAGAGAAAATCGCTAAGATAAAAATACTTATAGCAAATATTGGAACTAAGTCACAAAACCAAACAAAAAAAATAGATCCTTTATTATTTTAGTGTCTCGTATCGCTTCTATCCTGCCAGGGATGGAACATTTACACGGTCGAAGGACTCGGTAACTCTAGCCAGAGACACGTAATACAAGAAAGACTAATCAAGTTTAATGGAAGCCAGTGTGGATTTTGCACTCCGGGAATGGTTATGAACATGTATGCTTTGCAACAGAGCAATAGTAAACTTAAAATTGGAGATGTTGAAAACTCCTTTGCAGGTTTAAAGATGCTTTTTCTGGTTTTTGTTTGCTTTTGTCGAGTATTTTTGTAGGAAATATTTGTCGTTGCACTGGCTACAGATCCATTCTAGCAGCGTGTAAGTCTCTATGTATCGACGCCACTCCTGAATTAAAAGCTTGTATAACTGATATAGAAGATGTTCAGCCATGTAATGGTCCTAGAAATAACGCTATTGAAACCTTAAGGTATTTTTAATTATATAGCCTCAAAATTCACTGATAATAATTTATTATTTACAGCAAAGCGCCTTTTCACTTTTTGTTTCCTAAAGCTACATGGATTAAGGTTTACGAGTTTACCGACCTCTTGGAAATTTTAAAAACTTTCCAGGGATCCCAAATTTGTAAGATTATTGCGGGTAATACGGCTAAAGGTAATGGTACATTAAAAATCGTTTTTTATAAAACCATTTTCAATCTCATAAAGTTTAACAGCAATTTTTTTTAACTTAATTTCAGGGGTCTATAAACATAAAACTGTGGCTAATGTATACGTCGACATCGCCAATATCGCAGAGCTACGACATCATAAAATTAATGAAAATTTTCTCCTTCTTGGAGCCAACGTCACTCTTGCTGATGCTATGAAGACGTTTAGGAGATTATCGATGTCTAAAAAGGAATTTGAATATTTGAGTCGAGTGGCGGATCATATTGATCTTGTTGCCACTGTACCTATACGTAATGTAAGTAATGCAAATTCACATACAATTTTATAGGTTTTTATTTCACAAACAACTCTTTTTGCAGATTGGAACAATTGCTGGAAATTTAATGATAAAGCATCAACATAACGATTTTCCTTCTGATATATTTTTGCTATTAGAAACTTGCAATGCAAAATTAACAATTGTTGACACAAGTGGGAGTAGTTACCTGAAAACACCGCACGAATTTCTAAAATTCGATATGACTAATAAAATCATTAAAGAAATTCTATTACCAAAGCTTAATCCTTTGGAATATAAATTTGGAAGTTACAAAGTATAATAGCAATTTAATAATCTATACATAAATATTAAAATATAATTGTTTTAGATTATGCCAAGATCCCAAAACGCCCATGCTTTACAAAATGCAGGATTCCTCATACGATTTAATAATGATATGTTAATTTTATCAGCTCGATTAATATTTGGACATGTCAATGCTCACTTTATCCATGCTTCAAAAACAGAACAATTTTTAAAAACAAAAAATATTTTCAATAACACAAATCTACAAGAAGCCTTTAAAATATTAAACAGTGAACTAATATGCGATCATATTCCACCTGAACCTCATCCAGATTTCAGAAAAAACCTGGCAATTTCTTTATTTTACAAATTCATTTTGAGCATTGCGCCAAAACACTTAATATCAAAACGACATCTTTCTGGAAGAGACTTACTAATCAGACCAATATCCAATACAGTTCACGATTACGATACAAAAGAATGCATTTATCCGCTTGCCAGAGGAATTTCAAAGGTCGAAGCTAAATATCAAGTAACGGGCGAAGCTGAATACATTATGGATATGCCAAGTGTTAAGGGTCAGCTTTTTGCTGCGTTTGTTTTATCCAAAATTCGTCCTGGAAGTGAAATTGTATCTATAAATACACAAAAGGCACTGGTTAGTATTTAATTTAATGGGTCATTATTGTGATTTGGGTCTGTACACTTTGAGGTTGATATTTGTTGAAAGGTTAATTTGAAGTTGTTGAATTTTTGATTGATTTGGGTTGGTTTTCCTCAGCATTAATTTATTTTTTCTCAATGTGGCACTGGGACTAAAATCTGAAGAAACTCAACTTTCTCTAGTTTGTTTCTCTAATGTTGTTTTCTTTGGAATAATAATTTTGCTTTGGGTTTGAGTATCTCTGTATGTCTGTCTTCAATATTGTTATATAAACCCGCCACTCGTACTTTTTGATTGCCCCCTGTAAATACAGTTAAAGAAGCCAGAAAATTCGACTATTTTCAAGATAAACTGAATCACGAAAATTCGAGCGTGTTAGAGAAGGACGCACTTATCGAAAAAGTAGTCTCACTTATATGCGAACCCGTGAACGTAACAATTGGTGTCAGAAGAAATTTGCATTTATGGTAAATACAAGAAAACAGGGCTGGAACTCTGTAACGGATAGAGACCGTTATCCCTATCGCTATGGCACTAGCTGTCTTCTTCTCTCTTATCGAAAGAGGAGACGTCAATAGAGATAGAGAAAATGTCTCTATTCGTTACAGAGTCCCAGCCCAGAGTGCCCAAATGGAAGAACACCTAAACCAGGTGTTCGCTTTGTTGACACTTGCGGACGAGAAGAAAGCAAAAGAAAAACAAGAAGACAGGCGACTTAAAGAAAAACTGGAAGCAGAGGACAAGCGACAGCAAGAGCAAGACCGGCTTCAGAAAATTCTGCAAGAACAGGAAGACAGACGACAGAGGGATATTGACAGGATCGCTGGGTTGTTCCAGAACATCCAACAAAAAGTCAAAGGCGAAATAGAAACGGTTCGAGAAGAAGTCAAAGGCGAAAGGAGGACGATCCGAGAGGACTTCGAGAAAAAATTTAGAAAACTAGAGAAAAGGCGCTTGAAATTCTTCAAAATATTCCCGAGACAAATCAAAGTGATTATGCAGCTGTTGTAGGAGCCTTAGAGCTGAGGTACGGAAACAGGTATCTCAGTCAAGTCTACCAAGATCCATCTGAGACACTGCAGGAATTTAGTAGAGACATCGAGAGAATGGTGAGATTGGCATATGCACAAGCTCCTGAAGAATTCTTTGAATAAATAAATGTCCGGTACTTTATCGATGGAGTAAAAGATACAGACCTGCAACAAGCACTGAGAATGAGTAGGCATAACACCTCAGCTGACACCGTTGTGCATGCATTGGAATATGAAGCTGCCAAAAATGCCTCTTTAAATCAGAGAAGCAAGATCAGGGAAGTGAAGATAGCAGAGGATCGCCCAAACTCAGACGCAGATATGTTCCTAAAACTGGAGGCACTGTTTCAGGAATTCTGCGCGAAGTTAGACCAAGAACCAAGAGTCAGAAAACAGATCAAATGCTAGAACTGCGGCCGAGAAGGAAATATTAGCAGAAACTGTAGGCGACGTTCCCGCTCAGGAGATCGTGAAGCAGAGGAAGAAGGTGGTTCCAGACATCATCAGGGAAACGCTACCTCGCCAGTGTAAGGGGGCGAATGCTGGCGACCACCGATTCTCGAGCCCCCAAAGTAAGGGTGTTCTCCCTCAAGAAGAACTGTGTAAGTCTCGTTGCCCAACGCACCCTCAATGCCAAGAAATGTGATTTGACCATCGACACAGGGGCATCAGGATCAGTGGTTCGCCCCGACAGGGTTTCTAAGGACTCTGTAATGATGTTGAGAAGTAAAACACTGCTAGAAACAGCTAAGGGAGATTCGATAAATGTTTTTGGAGAGACCACCGTGATATAGGGAATAGGCAGCACTGAACTTAAGATAGAAGTGATAGTTGCTGACATAGTGGATGAATTTATATTGGGAGTGGATGTCCTAGAAACCTTTAATTTCCTATCAATGGACTTTAAAAATGAAATATTGAGAGTGGGCAATGAAGAAATACTCTTCTCATCATCGTCAAATAAGGACTGTCAAATTAGAATAATCGTTCATGAAGATACACGAATTTCTGAAAATAGTGAGTCGAATGTGTGGGCATACCTAGAAAAACAGCTAGAACGCGTGAACACCATGATCGTGGAACCAACAGGAAACATGCAGAATGGAACACTTGTGACATATTGCTTAGTGAATTCCAACAATGTTTTTCCAGTGAGAGTGGCCAATCTAACAACAAAACGTGTGACATTGAGGAAAGGAGACGTCATTGGCAGATGTACACCAGCTATACGAGTAGTCAGATGCGCAAAGAAGGCCTGTGTCAAATGAAGCACATTTATCAATAGAGCTTCTGTAGGAGTTTGAAAAGAGCTGGAATCACTTAGGCTAGCAAGAGAAGAAGAAAGCTATTGACTTTGTGCAGAAAGAGGCTGGTGTTTTTGTGCAAGATAAAATTACTGGACGAACTAATTTGGTAGATCATCGCATCAACACAGGAAGTGCTACACCGATTCGCCAACAACCACGAAAACTCCCTTTCGCGAAACAACAGCAAGTTAACACTATGCTTAAGGAAATGCTGAAGGACAACATCATAGAAGAATCTAATAGTTCATGGTCATCGCCGGTCGTACTAGTTACGAAAAAGGATGGTTCTACCAGGTTTTGTGTGAAGTATAGAAGGTTGAATGACGTTACGAAGAAAGACCGCTATCCATTACCCCGGATTGACACCCTTAACACCCTATCAGGATCTAAGCGGTTTTCAACCCTGGGCTTGAAAAGTGGATATTGGCAGGTGGAACTCAATAAAGAGGATAAAGAGAAGACCGCATTTACTGCAGGAAACGGCCTATATCAATTTATCGTCATGCCGTTTGGATTATGCAATGCATCTGCCACTTTTGAAAGAATGATGGAGTTAGTTTTGCGAGGACTGACTTGGGAAACGTGCATGGTATATCTGGATCATGTCATGGTGATGGGCAAAGATTTCGACGAACACCTGTCGAATTTGAAGGAAGTTTTTGCTAGGATACGAAGATTCAATTTGCAACTAAATCCCAAGAAGTGTGTCATATTCCAGGAAAAAGTAAACTTCCTCAGCCATGTCGTCTCATCAAAAGGAATAGAGACAGATCCAGATAAAGTCCAAGCTGTGCGAGATTGGCTCAGACCAAAGAATAAACATGAAGTTAGAAGCTTCCTGGGACTCCGTAGTTACTACTACCGGTTTGTCAAGGATCTTGGGAAGATTGCGAAGCCTTTACATGAAATAACTGAAAAGAACGCTCGTTTTGATTGGATACCTGAAAGTCAACGGTCTTTCGTGGAGCTTAAAAATAAATTGACTAGTGCTCCAGTTCTGGCGTATACCAGGGATGAAAGTCATGTTAGACACCGACGCTTCCCAAAGTGGAATAGGGGCTGTTCTTTCCCAAATTCAAAAGGGCGAAGAAGTAGTAGTTGGATACTTCAGTAAGTCCATTGGAAAGGCAGAGAAGAATTACTGTGTCACCCGAAAGGAGCTTCTGGCAGTAGTAAGATCTATTGAACATTACCACAGCTTTCTCTATGGCCGAAAGTTTCTAGTTAGAACCGACCATTCTGCATTGCAATGGCTGCTCAATTTTAAAAATCCGGAGGGTCAAATAGCGCGTTGGTTAGAGAAATTACAAAGTTATTACTTCCAAATCAAACATCGCAAAGGAAGGAGTCATGCCAACGCCGACAGCCTATCACGAAGACCATGTGTTGACAGCTCATGCAAATTCTGCCAAAGGCAAGAGGAAAAGGAGGCAACCAAAGTGGAGTCGTTCAACAAATAAGGCTTAACGACGCTAATAAACTGATGAGGACATTATGAGAGAAGACTTCGAAGAACAACAAAATATGGATAAGGAATTGAAAATGGTGCGTGGCTGGCTACAAGACGGACAACGACCTGGATGGCAAGATATTTTCAGTTTGAGTCAAACGGTGAAGGAATACTGGCTGCAATGGGACTCGTTGTGCCTGTGAGATGACTTGATCAGTCGTAAATGGGAGAGTCCAGATGGAAAAAACCTAGTATATCAGACCGTTGTGCCACGGACCATGGTGGACAGAGTGCTTCAAGAACTGCACAGTATTAGGAGTGGCGGACATTTTGGAGTCAATAGGACCTTGGCTCGAGTAAGAGTACTATTGGATCAACTGTCGTGGGGATGTTGAAGAGTGGTGCAAGAGATGCGATCTCTGTGCTTCTAAAAAAGGACCCAAGACGCGATTTCGTGGAGAAATGAAGCAGTACTTGTCTCGTTGCCCTTGGGAGAGAATTGCCGTGGATATTGCAGGTCCTTTTCCTACGACGGAGTCAGAGAATAAGTACCTCATGGTTGCTAAGGACTATTTTTTAAAGTGGCCAGAAGTAGTTCCCATACCCAATCAGAAAGCAGTTACTGTTGCGGAATCATTGCTGGAAAATGTCGTCTCCAGACATGGGGTACCGATAGAACTTCATACCGATCAGGGAAGGAATTTCGAGTCCGAGGTATGGAAACAACTGATGAGGTTACTGGGAGTAAGAAAAACGAGGACGATTGTACTTCACCCACAGTCGGACGGAAAGGTCGAGAGGCACAATCGGACTCTCAATCAATACTTCTCGATGTTTGTAGATGATCACCAGCGAGATTGGGATAAACTAGTGCCTCTTCTCCTTCTGAATTATAGAAGCTCTCAGCATGAGTCCACCGGCTATACACCATCTTTGCTGTTGACTGGAAGAGAAATGAAGCTTCCAGTAGATTTAATATTTCGCAGACCTCCAGTCGATGAAGACGAGGCTGTACTTCCAGTTTACGTGGCTGATCTCCAGGACAGACTTAGAGTGGTAATCGATTTCGCCAGAAATAAACTGACCAGTGACAGAATGAAGATGAGACTCGACCAACGGCAGTCACTGAACACCTTTAATGAAGGCGATGTTTTCTGGTTGTATCAGCCACAGCGAAGAAAGGGAGTTAGTCCGAAACTGCAACGA